AAAAGGAAAAGAGAAAGGAACCGATCCCTGAGTGGGGTGTGGCCCAACCAGAGATCTGATCAGAATCAAATTCTTTTACCTCCCCTCGGATGGAATCGAATATTCTGTTTGAAAAGGGAGAGAAAAGATTGGAAGGACTTCCATGCCCCTTATGACTTGCTCGGAATTCTCCCTTCTGGTATCCATGTATTGGTAGAAATCTTGTATTCGCTGCGGATAACTTGAGACCACAGTGAGTTGTCATTATTTGCGAGTTGCCACCACCATTTCTCGAGTAGGGCAGTGTTTTTGTTTTCTCAAGTTCCGGATCCCAAGCCCATCGAGGTGCTTCTGTTGGCAGGATTTTTCCCATGAGATGAGATGAGATGGGCTTTTTTTTGACTCCGCGTCCCCTGACCAAAAAGGAAGTTCCTTATCAACTGTTCAAGGCGATTGACGATCGCCGCAGGGATGTGTAAAACGGACATGGGGTAAACCAGAGTGTTGGCCAGGGTGGCCTTAATGAGGGTGGTCTTGCCCGCGAAGGAAAGGAATCCCCCTTTCCACCCTACGAGGTGGCGATCAACTTTGTCAATAATGTGGGACCATTGTCTCCTTTTAGGTTTTCCTAGGCCCAAAGGCATACCCAAGTAGCTAGTAGGGAGGTCTTCCACTTTGCACTCCCAATCTGGAATGAGTGCTCTAGTCTCAGGGGCAGTGAGGGCATTCCCAATCATCGTGGATTTCTCCATGTTAACTTTAAAGCCAGTGGCATACTCAAAGCATCTGAAGAAGAGGCGCAGATTCGCTATTTCCTCCAGAAATGCATCTATGAAGACGAGCGCGTCGTTCGCTTACTGCAGGTGGGACACAGTAGGGCCCCTGGTGCTACTTTTGAAGCCTGGGAGGAGGCCAGCTTGGTACATGCGAGAGATTGATTGGCTGAACACCTCTACTGAGATAGCAAAGAGGAAGGGGGAGAGCAGATCCTTTTGCCGGAGACCTCTAGATGAAGAGAAGAATCCCTTCGGAGCACCATTAATCAACACTGAGAAGAAAGGTTGGGAGTAGCAGCCCCTCATCCACTTTTTCCAATGCTCCCCAAACCCCATCCTAGCCATAGTTTCATCCAAGATCGACCAATCAACATGGTCATAGGCCTTTTTCCAATCAATTTTAAAGATAAGGCCCAGTTTATTGGCTAGATGCCTAGAGTGCAGGCATTCATGCACTATCAAAACCCCGCAAGAATCTGCCTATCTTTAATGAAGGCACTCTGGGAAAGAGAAATCACAAAGGGGAGGACCTCTTTAAGCCTTGAGGCCAGGACTTTCGAGAGAATCTTGTAGGTCAAGTTGATCATGCTAACAGGTCGGAAATCCTTTTGTTGATCTGCCCCTTCTATCTTGGGGACTAGGGCAATTAATGTCACATTCATTGCTTTGTGAAGAATACCCTGGTGAAAGAATTCTTCAAAGAACTTGAGGAAGTCAAGCCTAAAGGTTTCCCAAAAAATCTTTAAGGGAGCTACTGGGAAGCTGTTCAGTCCAAGTGCTTTGTCTTTTCCCAGGTCCGCTATTGTTGCCAGGATTTCTAATTCAGAGAAATGGTGTTCCAACCACTAGACCCAATCGGCAGGAGCGCTAAGGAATTGTAAGTCCCCCATCTTGGGTCTAGGGCTTGAAGGGGCAAAGTAGAGGGTTTGGAAGAAACAAAGAATGGCTGCTTTGATTTCAGGTGGCTGGTCCAAAATCCTAGTACCATTCTGAATAATGGATATAATGTTATCCTGACGTCGGCAATTAGTGATTTTGTGGAAGAAGCCGGTATTATGGCCCCCATCATGTAACCACTTAACCCTAGACCTCTGAAACCAAAAGATCTCTTATTTTTTGAGAGTGGAGAAGTACTCCAATTTGTGCTGAGTTCTGAGGTTTGATTCAAAGATAGAGAGGGTTTGGGATTCTTCAGTAAGGTCAAGGGCTTGGATGGCAGCAAGGCAGCTACTCTTGAGTTGAGTGAAATTTCCTGGGATGGTTCTGCTCTAAGCTTTGAGGGATGCCTTAAGAAGTTGTATTTTTGTTTGCAGGATGTAGCCTGCCCTTCTTGAGACTAAGGGGGAGAAAGACTTCCACCACAGGGGGGATGAGAGAGGACAAAGAAGCTTCATCCAACCAAGAGAGCTCGAACCGAAAGGGTCTAGGGCCTCTCGGGGCCAATTGGTGTCAAGGATAATGGGGTAGTGGTCCGAAGTAGGTTTAGGTAAAGCCAAGGCATGAGAGCCGGGAAAGTGGACATCCCAATTCACAAAGAGAAGGAACCTATCCAGTTTGGATAGGGTGGGTTGGGTCGAGTGATCGGACCAGGTAAAGAGGTTACCTTCTAGAGGGATGTCTAGAAGTTCGTTGCGAGAGATGAAGTTCGAGAAGTCCAGCATCCCTTGCGAGATGTTGGAATTGGAGTTTCTCTCAAAGGACCATCTAGTAATATTGAAATCCCCCCCCCTAAGCACCAGAAAGGGTGAGGGTTGCTACGTGGTGAAGCTTATCCCAAAAGGCGGTTCTTAATGCCATTGAGTTTGGGCCGTAAACAGCTATGAATTTCCAGAGGTATCTGTCTGAGATCCTAGAAAGGAGGATAGTGAGAGAGAAGTCCCCTGTGTAAGAGGACACCAGGGCATGGTCGGAAGGGTTCCAGATAACCCAGATACCCCTTGACGCCCACGCAGTGGGCCGGGATACCCACTGGTGAGGTCTGCGACCCCAGACCTAGCGTATCAGTTGAAGAGAGGGCTCAGTTTGTTTGGTTTCTGTTAAGGCCAAAATGGTGCGGTTGTGCTTCGCTCACATGTCCCTTGCAGCATTGCATTTAAGGGTTTGTCCCAAACCCTGAAAATTGCATGAAAGGATCTTCATAGGGAAATGAGGGGGCTGTGGGGGGTGCCGGTCTGGGTGAACTCCTTAGGGTGTGGTCTAGGAGGTTGGACTGGACCGAAACCACTGGAGGTGGCAAACTAGGGGCTTGTCTGTCGTAGTTAATACTTGAGTAGAGGTTGAGTACCTCCCTTTGGCCTTTAATTCTCACCTTAAGCCTACTCTATGTGTCTGCTTCGAAGAAATGGTGACAGGGTCCCTTAGGTCCTTCATGGGGGAACCCCATGACCCTGAGCACGTCCTTAATATTGCTTTGAGCGCGGGCGATCCCATCCATGTATTCAGAATCGACAGAAACTGGCGAAGGAGAGAGAGAGGACCAGGTTACCGACGAAGAGGGAGAGGGGCTGGAAACGGGGGGTTCAAAAGGTATGGTAGGAGACAACTCAAAGGGGTTGGATGGGTAGAGGTCAGTAGGAAGCTGAGGGTAAGACTTAGGGGTGTCAGAGGTCGCGCGTCGTGTGGGTGTAGGAAAAGGTTAGAGCGACAGGTCTGGGAGGAGGTTGAGGGTGGGCTCAGTAGAGGAAGAAGCTGAGGAAGGAGGGGTGGAGGGCGATAGTGGGGCGTGGGGTTAAGCGGGGTGGATTGGGAAAAGCTGGTCCTAGAAGGGGGGTAGGGAGGAGTGGAGGAGAATCAGGGGGGTAAAGAGTAGAGAGGGTGCGTGAAGAAGGGCTGGGTGAGGGATGAACCAGGGGGGTATAGTGGGTCACCAAAAAAGGTGAGGGAAGAGATTTGAAGGGAGCCGGAGAAACCATGTATGGGTACAGGGGTGGAGATGCCAAAGCTGCCGGGGGGCCAGAAGGGAAGCAAAAGGGTCAACAAGAGGCTGGGGGTTAGGTACAATGGCCAGCTGTAATATAGTTGCTAGTTTTGGAGCATGTGGAGTCCATGACATCCTTCCTGCTTCAATAGGTTTCTGCCTTTTGTAGAAGTCACTCTATATTTGGTTTTGTGGAAAGAGAGGGTGATATGACTCTGAACTAGCGACTGACACTGTTAGTTGATGTTTACCTATTGGTGCCCTTATTCATACCAAAGCCATTTTTTTCATCACTTGGAACCAAGAAGAGAGGACGGAGAAACGGATGTCATTAGAACTATTATCATATATGACAATGTCTGCATGTGTTCCCTTTTGCCTTGAAGAGTTTGGTCTATGATGCACTGATGTAGATGTGGATACAACTATAACATCGAATGACTGCAATTTTACATGGGTTTTTAAAGCACCCAACTTGAATACAACACCCATTTGAAGCATTCAAGCATTATAGGTTCTGGAATTTGCAAAATCCTATTAGCGTGCTAGCTTCTTAAAAATTTGAACTTGCATAGTCCCTTTGCATGCTTACAATTGGTTTGATTAGCCTTTGCTTAATGTCACAAAGCGAAAGTTAATGGTGGTAAAAATGCTCTTCCCCCATGAGTAATTAATGAGGTTGTCATGTTGATCTTTTCTTCTCATTTCCTCTATGTACAAAGATAAGAAGATAAGCTTGCTGCATTTGCATTTCAAGTTCAGTTACAGTATTATCCTAGACTTTTCACGTTAAGCCAGTAAAACACTCTAATTCTGAACAAATGAATTCTTGAGATATTAAACTTTCATCTAAAACACTTGAGATATTAAACTTTCATGTAAGAGTTTTAGACTCTAGTTTTGAAGATCACGGACCTCTCTTTTTGCACATCTGTGTTTTCTTTCTCCTACCCGTCAAGGACTTTTACACTTGTTGGACCTTGTGTGTCGTTCCTCTGTACATCTTTGTAATGGGCATAAGTTAAAAGCCCCCATCAGTTTTTGTATAGGGCAACCTGAGCAGGGATAGCCTATTTTTTGCCAAGAGGCCCGGGCTGTGGGCCCTGTCGTTTGGCCCTGGTACCCTTTTTCTCATTTTAATTTAACAGTCAATACTTAAAAAAAAAAAAATCATCTAAGAATAAGGAAGGCAGGCCAAGCTCGCTTTTGCACCAGGTTTCTCCCCTTCTGTTTCACTGTATGTTCTGCCTTTGTTTACATGATTGGGATATATGCGTCTTTCATATTAAATCTCAGGTTTGTGATCCAATTGGTTCTATTGTGTACAGTTCATGGATTCAGCATTCAATCTCATGCAAGCATCATTCTCGGATCGCTAGGTTGCTGAGTCCAATATGCCTTGAATCATGAAGCCGAACTGGTATATAGGCCAGGTTACATAGATCCACTTTAAACACTCAGCCTGCGCTAATTCACCTAGTAAGGATTTCCCTCCAAAACACGAAGACAACAAAGAAAAATACAAGTTAGATACCAGTTCAGCTTCGTGTTTCGGAGGAAATCCTTACTAGGTGAATTAGTGCAGGCTGAGAGTTTAAAGTGGATCTATGTAATCTGGTTTTTTTTTTTTTCTTCAGTTAAAGAGGTTTTGCTGCTTGGAAGAGTTGTGTGGATCTAGAGGGCTAGGCTGATTTTGAGCTGAGACATTGTGTAGTTCTTTTTGATATTTGGGGCATATGTATGGATATAAAAACTTTGTGGTTGGTGAGTTCTTTAGATTTTACGTTAAATAATGACCATTTTTTGGTGGATTTGGAGGACATAAATGCATAGAATCAGAGATAAATATGGTGTGCTTACATCCACAGACATACTGTGGAAAGAATTAGGATAAAGTCATTTACTTAATATCAATATATATAATTCGGATTTTTTTTTCAATGATGTACCATTACCTTATAAACAATTACAAATCATATAAGCAGGACAATAATACATTTTGAAGCAATTAATGGATAAAACTAAAAAAAGCTAAGGGGCGATGAGCTTTCAAAGGATTTCCTAATCCGTCTTGCAAAGATGAGCACCCCTCTCATTTTCAAGCCAACCTAGATTCCAAGCCCAGGAGAGATTTAGGTTTTATCCCAATGTATTTTCTTGCTCTTTGAAACCTAGACGCCCTCGAAACCCCAGTCGCCTATCTACAGTCCCCGATACCCCAGTCGCCCATTTCTGCATGGTGCTTGCTGCCCACTCACCATATTCTTCAGATTATCTCTCTTCTTCATCTATTTTGAGCTAAAAAAAGAAGGAAAAGTTTCAGACCCCTAAATTTTCATCTTATTTCACGTTAGACCTTCCTATTTTTTTTTTAAACGGCATAAAAAAACAAACCCTCGAGTATTTCACCTTACTCCTTCATCTTTTCTCTCCCACGTTTATTTACTTTTGGTCAAAAAAATTAGTTTTAATAAATGTTTTATTCCATTTCAATTCAAAAACTTTTTTAACCATATTTTGTACTTTCAGTACTTAAGTGATTGAGATGGAATAAAACAATTTGTTGGGGTTAGTTTTTGTGGTTAAAAGTCAATAAACGTGAGAGAGAAGAGGTGAAGGGGTATAATGAGATATTTGAGGGTATTTTTATGCCGTTTGAAAGAAAAATAGAAAGAAGGTCTACTCGAAGAAATTTTTCCAAAAAAGAACTAAATACTGTTTGTTTGTAAGTTAGAACTAATTATATATGAAATGCGAGAGGGAATTGTTTTCCTCGTTTGATTATTTCGCTGAAGCAAAGTACATAATTGTTGTATAGTAAGATTTGGATGATAGCCACATGAATTTGAGGTTTACGGTAGGTTTATCGAAGTGATTGTTATTTGCAGCTTTGATGTGTTACTGTAACTCGAGAAATTTTTTTTATGCCAGCTTGCTTTAGAGAGATAGAGAGCTTACGTGTTTGATCTTTAGAGAGAGAGAGAGGAGGGAGAGAGAGCTTATTCTTGAGAGAGAGAGAGAGACTCTGTGCTTTATCTTTTTAGAGAGAGAGCTTATGAGCTTATGTGCTTTGTCATGTTTGTGTTGAGAGAAAGAGGATATTTTTGTGTGCGAGAGGGCCTATGTGTTTTTTCCGTGTGTGTATTATATATATGCGTAGTGATTTCATATAACGGTTGTATTGTACTATAATGCAACCGTACTTTTAGAAAAATCATATTTGTGGTAGTTATATGACTCAAAATTTTGTTCACACACTCTTCATCTCAATAATCAATCCCCCTCAAAAGAAAAGTTCAATTTGAATTTTAGATATGGTGAATTTCAATATTTTAGCCTTTACAAACTCATTGCTATTTTTGTTAACATTGTTCATCTAATGAATAATAAAACCATCTAAAAAAATTGAAAAAAAAAAAATTCCTTCTAAGGCCTAGATCTAAACATCTTATCCAAATTGACGGTTTATATTAATAGGGCTAACAAAATACTTTCTAGGTTCCGTTTTATGGTAAACATCTTATCCAAATTGACGGTTTATTTTAGTTTTGTAATTATTCATTAGAATGAAAATAGTATATATTTTAAAATTTGAATCAAACAAATGGCCCAAATGGTGTTTGAAGATTGTTTCATTATATATATATATATATATATATAACATGGTGTTGGTGTTTGAAGATTGTTCATTATATATATATATATATAAGAAA